GTCCAAGTCAATATCCACCGTCGGAACATTACAATTGATCATCGATGCAAGTATAAAATCAACCCATATTTTGAATATTCACCGTTGGAATGAATTCATATTTCTCCTTAATTTTAATTAGTTAGAAACCAGGGTTCTAACTAACCATAATTATTAAATAACCTCAGATCAGCACTCAAGATTCAATTTAATAACAGTTTTACACATTAGAGAAATCGATGAAGTAGATAACACAAACACCAGCGGTTGCATTCAATCTATTTAAACATTCTTCCGAAAATTTTAGAATCACCAAAGAAGCAAATTATCAAACTCTAGTTGTTTCACAAGTTAAAGAAATCAAACAATTACTGATTTGATATTTAACTGAGCGGTAAATTGCAACGAATAACAAACTAGTAGGCCTCCTATCAATTAAACATATCAATAATGGAAATAAGTGTAGAAGAATATCCAATACTCAAAAACATGAATTAAACTAAGAAAAACCATTTAGATCTCACAATATGTGGTTCAGAGACTTCAATCTCCTTCGACCAAATGCAAAAGTTTAGTTATAATTCATGAATCTATGAGCAAAATAATGAAGTATGGAGGTGTTCTGTACATTCATCCCTCATTCTAGGTTTTAAAAATATATATTTATAGTTGTTTACNAAATAATGAAGAATGAAATTTGGAGACGTTCGTACGTTCTTCCTCCATTCTAGGGTTTAAAAATATGTATTTATAGTTGTTCCATAGGTAGTTGACTTAAATTCGAAAACCAGAATTTTCGTGTCAGGAATGAACTATGTGGCCGCATGGTAGTAAGTCATGTAGTCACGTAGAACATTGAAAATGGACTCTAAAATTCGCTGAAACACCATTTGCTGCCGCATGAAATTAAAGCCATGCGACTGCATGGTTTTAAATAATTTCCACCAGATAGCTTTCAGTATTTTAACTATATCTTTCTCTCCTGATATACGATTGAGGCGATTCAAGATGAATTGGAAATATAACTTAAAGGGATACAACTTTGCTTCAGATATCATCTTCTAATTCAATCATTTTCCATGTCAAAAATGGGTCTAAATATGTGGCTAAAAATCGGTGCATAACTTTTTCGATTTGAAATTGATGTATGATCATACTTTGACGATATTTCATTACTTTGAAGTTTTCTTTCATCCAATTGACTCCTAACACTCTCAAATCTTCTTCGTTAGGTTCCACACAACTTTTGTGTATTTACACTCTAGTACTTGAACTTTCATTACCTTTCACTTTGGTCCATTTTCATCTATTTCTTCCAAATTACACAATCTCTATTAAATTGCCACCTAAATCAAAATATGAACGTAATGAGTACATTTTGACATTGATTAGTCATATGAGCACATAAAATAAGGAGGAAAAAATATGTATTTTACATNNNNAAGGAGGAAAAAATATGTATTTTACATTCTTATCACGCCATTTTTAGCAAGGGTCTCGCCTCGCTTCATTCAGTCTTACAACATATTTCAATTGCTCCAACATGCTCTCTTTTTAACAAGGGCCTCGCCTCGCTTCATTCAGCCTTACATTAAATTTCAGTTGCTACAATAGGCTCACCCTCTTTAGCAAGAGCCTTGCTTTGCTTCATTCAGCTTTACAACAAATTTCAGTTTTTCCAACAAGCTCGCCCTCTTTAGCAAGGACCTCGCCTCGCTTTATTTAGCCTTACATTAGATTTCAGTTGCTCCAACGGGCTCGTCCTCTTTAGCAAGGGCCTTGCCTCACTTCATTCAACCTTATTACAGCTTTCAGTTGTTCCAACTGGCTTGCCCTTTTTTGCAAGGGTCTTGCTTCGCTTCAGTCATCCTTATTACAGGCTTTAGTTAATCCAACGATTACCCTACGCCGCCTCTTTTTTCTTTATCATCGACTTAAAAGTCAATGCATTATATAAATAATCATATTTGACATCAAGGACAGATCTCGAAAGTTCACGCATTATATGAATAATCATACATGGATTTCAGGGACTATTGTTACGCCTTGATTCTCAAGACCCTAAATATCCTACATGACGAACAAAGGTATGGCCCCATGCCATCCTGTAATATATTAAAACGAAGCTGATCTAATGAACTCTTTTATGTGGTCGAACCAATATGTTTGCCAACCCCATCAAGCCACACTAACCCTCATGGAAAGAGCTGACCTATGAGTGGAGGTGAGGCTACAGAAGGAGTTCAATATCCCAAGCAATCTTTTTGATATATGATTGATGTGACAATTCATTGTTATCGTGCCATTACCAGCCTATCCAGTCAAGTCTAAAGCGGCGAGTTAGGTATTACGGATGCTAAAGTGGTACTAGCATTTAAGGCTTATCATTGACTGATTTCTAAGATTAGAAGCACTAGTTACATGGATGAGGTCATATGTCTCTTCATCCAACGACTTTTGTTCATTTTCTTATAGTATAAAAGATCACACTTAGTGTCATTTTATAAATAGTGAAATACGTTCTTTAATTTGAATATTAAAATTATAACGAAATGCATAAATGAAGGTGAATAGCAAATACAATACATGAATTAACTTGAATGCTGCTTAATTTAGAATTTATACCAAGAAATATATACATGACAATGAATGTTAAATCATTTATATTAAATGAATTTAATTTTTTTGACCTCAAAAAATGTACCTCCAATGTGACCAATAGATCCCAGAGCCTCTCACGTCTACGCAAGCCTCGTTTATGCACACTTGAATAAATAGTTAGCCACATGTGGCCTTCTTCTGTGGGGATGGAGTAGGCTATGCACATTCCAATAGTTAAGTTAGTTGGGAAATAAAATATGAGCATGGAAGAGCTTTAGGTGTGAGCTTCCAATATAGAAAGGGGTCAGCCTGGGGAGTTATAAATAAAATAGTGATATGGAAAAGTTGTAGCTTGAAAGTCTAAACCTGACGCACCGGATAGAACGAAGATCAAATTTATCATAATGCAAGCTTTGGCGGTGCACATAACAAACACAATCAAATACTCGAAGGTGAGACACATCAGATTTTCTCCCTTTTAAGACTTCCAATGGTGATTGAAAATGGATTACACTACTTGGAAGCCTATTTATCAAGTACACAACTGTTAAAACTCCATGTGACCAAAATTTCTTCGGAATATTCATTTGAAGCATGAGAGCTCTTGTAGTCTCCAAAATATGTCGAAAGATAATACCACTACACCAAAAAATGGCTTTTGTAGCGGCCAAAAAACGCTGCAAAAGATATTTTGCAGCATTTTTCCAAGTGTTGCGGAGGTCG